GACTACTATTACTTCTTAATGATTATTGCTACTACGACTACTACGACTACCACTCTTTTTTGTACGACTACCAGTACTACGACCTCGCTGCGATTATCATTTGTACCACAGTTGCTACTACGTCTACTACTACTGCTATTGGTACCAACAGTACTACTGCGACTAGTATTACTATTTCAAAAACTACCACAACTACTACCAGCATTGCTAATGTCACACATACAATTACTTTTACTAGTTCTAGCTCTAACACTACAACTACTACCACTACTACAACTACTACTACAACTACGACTACTGAAACTAGGGTGATTATTATTAATACTAGTACTACTTCTACTACGGCTGCTAATACCACGATCATTTTTAATCGTATAGAACAGGGGCGGTGGGGAGAATGAAAACAAGGGAGGAGGAAGGAGGGGCGCTGAGGACGACGCGCGATGTGCGACGTCGTTATCTTCGTGCGACGTCACAAATGTTGGCACACCATGGTTTCCACTTCTTTGCGGCACCAGGGTGAAAAACCAGTTCCGGGGAAGTGGGGTCCACGTTGCATCAAAAAACACGACGTCGTACGCCTGGGCCTGACACCCGCCGATCTGATGTTTCATCCGCGGCCCCGACCGCTTCCCCCAGGGTGCAGTGTTTCGCCACGGGTCCATTTCTCATGGCGCCGGCGCCCGACAACGTCCCCCGAGGCTCAGAACCGACGACAAAAAAATCGCAGGTTGCAAAAGTCCGACGAGCGACGCAAACAAAAGAGGTCGACTGCGCCGACATCGGCGCGCAAGCTGCCCGCGTAAGATCGCGCATAAAGGGCCCCCGTTTCCAACGGGGCCTGCCGCGCTGGCGGCCCGCGTAAGCCGCGGCATAGGGCTGCTGTGCCATCTCGCGTAAGACTCCTTCCGTGTCGTCGCTCATGCAGCGGAGGCCCATGCCAAGAAACACCCTGCCTGCCTCCAGGGTGCCTTGGGTTTCTTAGGTTTCGATGGCTTCGCCATGGAAGGCGTGACGTTCCCACACCACAAATCCATGGGCGTCCTGGGGTCTCAGGGTTGGGTTTCTTGTGGAAGGTTTCTTGTGGACGGGCCTCCACTGTACTTGGCATCGCTCGGACGTGTGCATTTTTCCTTCGGCGAGGACCCTCGAGGAACACCCTTGATCATTTGGCGAAACAACCACGCACCAAACCGAACAAAACACAGGGAATGGACGGCCGAGCGATGGCCAGTCTATCCTCAGAGGTCTGGGCCTCCATCGCGCGGCGCCCTGGCAGACCGGCCGCGGCCGTCCGGCCGCCAGGCGCGCTCGCCGCGCGCCTCGCGGCGCAGGCGGCGGAGGGGGCGGCCCAGCAGCCGGTGCCCTCGGCTTAGCCCCGCGCCCCCGCACGGTGCCCGCCGGCCGCGCGGCCGGCGGGAGGGCCGGCCCTGCTCCTGACGGAGCAGGCGACGGCGACAGTGGCGACGGCGACAACGACAACGACGACGACGACGACGACGACGACGACGACGACGACGGCGACGACGGCGAAGGCGACGACGGCGGCGACGACGACGACGACGACGACGACGACGACGACGGCGACGACGGCGGCGGCGGCGGCGGCGACGGCGGCGACGACGGCGGCGACGACGACGACGACGACGGCGACGACGGCGAGGGCGACGGCGACGACGGCGGCGACGACGACGGCGACGGCGACGGCGAGGGCGGCGACAACGGCGAGGGCGACGACGCTGATGACGATGACGATGACGACGACGACGACGACGACGACGACGACGACGACGACAATAACGATGCCGATGGCGATGGCCATGACAGCCACGACGGCGACGGCGACGACGACCCCTGCCGGCACGCTGGGCGGGTGGACACTAGCGGGCGGGTCGGGTGGGCGGATCGGTCGGCGGACCCCTCTGGGCGGATCGAGCGGGTAGGGCGGCCTTCTCTCCACCAGGGGCAACGGTGAGGGGGGATAGGCCCAGGGGGCGAGGCGAGATTTGAGGCTCGAGGTTTTCGGGCGTTTCCGTCGGTTCTCGGCGGCTTTCCGGCCTCGGGATGCCCTCCAGCGGCAACGCGTCGCCGAGGGCGTTCCAGGGAGGCCTGCATTGTCCCGGAACGGCCGCCAGAGGCAGGGTAGGCTCAGGAGGGAGGCAGGAGGAGGGAGGAGGGAGGGAGGAGGAGGGAGGAGGAGGGAGGAGGAGGGAGGAGGAGGGAGGGGAGGGAGGAGGAGGGAGGGGAGGAGGGAGGGAGGAGGGAGAGGAGGGGAGGGAGGAGGGAGGGAGGAGGGGGGCGGGCGGGGCGAAGTTCGGGTTTCGATGTATTTCCTGGGCGTCTTCGCCGGCTCCTCTGGAGGTTTTGTCCCCTGCCTCGGGGGGGGCTGTCCCGCAGCCGCGCCTCGCCGAGGGGCGCTCCGGGAGCGTCGAGAGATCGCCCCGAACGGCCAAGCGGTGGCGAAGCGTCCTGGCTCGCCTGTAGCCCCACCAAACAACTTGCTCCAGATTTCGTAATAAAAGGGAGGGAGGGGGTCACAACCCTCCCAGACAAGAAGTTTTAGACCCCCCCAGACTATCCAGGAAAGGGCGGCCCTTTGCCCAGACCCCCCCGAACCCTCCAAGACAGCTCAAATTAGACCCCCCCCCGAATGTGACCCCCCCACTTTGTTATGGAATCCGGAGTAGTTGCCTCGATACGCGCGTTTTGAAACGTAACACGTCCCGTGTTCAAGACGTCCGTGTCAATACGTTGCGTGTTGGCTCCACATGTTGGACCACGTGTTGGCGAATGTATCGCGTCGGACCTACGTTTTCAGCCTACGTGTTGAGTTCCGCATCGGTACGGTACGTATTGCGTGCTGCGTATCGGGGCAGCTAAGCGGAACAATGTTCTAAGAGCCTTTTGTGGTTTCCACGAAATGTTCTTAGAACATGTCTGGCGGAGTCTGTCCTGTTTTAACACATCAGGCTTATGTTCTGAGAACATGGTCGATGTTCTTCGAACAGTTTAGGGGCTCTAAGAGCATTTCGTGGTAGGACTATAGGCATGCCGGGACGGTCGGTCCCTGCTCAAGAACGGCCGCCAGAGACCCGAGTAGTGATCCAAAAACTGGACGACGAGGATCATTGGGGTGCACAGGCTCAGGGGGAAAAACACACACACAAACACAATTAATCGTCGATTCCCCAGACAATATGGGAACATACGGGCAGTGGGGGGGGGGGGACAGAAACCAAGAAAATATGGGAAACAATTGGGAATATGTTGATTTGTATTTATTTGTGTGTGTTGTGTGTGTTGTGTGTTGTGTGTGTTGTGTGTGTTGTGTGTGTTGTGTGTGTGTTGTGTGTGTTGTGTGTGTGTTGTGTGTTGTGTGTTGTGTGTTGTGTGTTGTGTGTTGTGTGTGTGCGTGTGTGTGTGTGTGTGTCCCAGGGCCCCTTCACAGGCTCCGGGGGGAATGCACCGACCCACCAATCGCCCACTGGTCGCCGATAGGGGCCTGGTAGCCCGCTATCGGGGGCATATCGTCGATCTATCGGCGATGGATCGCCGGTTCCAGGTCGATGCTTCGCCCCTTGAGCCGGTCACGTCTGGATCTGTAAGAGAACAATCGTTACACACTGGAACGATACAGCCTGGCCTTTGCGGAGGAGGGGGAGGAGGAGGAGGAGGAGGAGGAGGAGGAGGAGGAGAGGAGGAGGGGAGGAGCGAGGAGGGGGAAGGGGAGGAGGAGGGGGAGAGGAGGAGGAGGAGGAGGATGAGGAAGGAGGAGGAGGAGAGGAGGGGGAGGAGGGGAGGGGGAGGAGGGGGGAGGGGAGGGGGAGGGGAGCTTGAAGAGGAGGAGGAGCTTGAAGAGGAGGAGGAGGAGGGGGAGGAGGAGGAGGCATCCCTCGCTCCTCGGGCATTGAGAGAGCGCCTACCCAGGCGAGTCGACAGGAAAATCTGCACACCATGTCACTCGACATTGGTATTCGAGTTACCAGTGCTAATCGACGCGCCACTCGCTGGATACACTCGGCTGTTATCGGACGTCGAGTGGCTACCCCGCCGAGATCCGCTCGGGATGCGGAGCGGCCGTGCGCACGTGGAGTGTCCCCGGCAGTTTTCACGTAAGGGCGTTTTGGAAAAAAGGTTTTTTGGCAGTCTTCGCGCCGCTTGAAGCTCTACCGGGTCTGAGAGCTCTCTGGCCGTTCCGCGGCCGCTTCCTCCTCCCGTCTTGCTCCTCCTCTGCTGCCGCCGTACCCAGACACCGGGCGTCATGTTTTTTTTTCCATGACGTAGACCCCAGGAGGTCTCGACCCATTCCCCAGGACCCGTTCTGCATCCTGAGCCGTTCTGTGACGGTCCCGGAACTTAGCCAGATCATCAGAACCCGAAATTGCCAGACACCGCCCGTCGTCAGGTTTTCATGACCCAAGGAGGTCTGGGCAATTGGCCATAAACGCGTCACGCCGCTGGCCGGCCGCCTGTTTCAAGCAGTGGCGAAGCACACAGACATGACCAAACATAGGACCACCAAAGACTGTTCTGATAACCACTTGTGGCTGGCACGAGGTCATGTCATAACATTTCGGGCTCAGGCAACCCTGTTTTCGTCCATCGGCCTCACGCTAGAAGGAGCTGCTGGTTCTGCTCATTCGAGGTCCCTTGTGCTCTGCGAACATGTCGGAGCAGGCCCACAGGACTGCCGGGGTCGACCGCGCTGGCACTCCTGCGCAGGCTGCCTGCGCAGAAGGTCCCGCGTGGGCGCCCATCGCTCCCGGTGTAGCACGCCGCGCGGGCGGCCCGCGCAAGCCACCGCGTGTAAGGTCGCTGTGCCATCTCGCGTAAGGCGCTTTCCTCTTCGTCGCCCACCTCTTGTCTTGTCGACCTTCGACCTCCGTGGCCACCTCGGCTCGAGCGGCGCGCGGGCCCACCCCCGTGCACCGCCCGCCCCAGCGCCGCGCGGGCGGACACCGCACGGGCGGCGTGCTGCCGCAGCCGCGGCGGCGCTTCCTTCGGCGCCATGCCGCTCGGGCCGGCGGCGGTGGGCGTGCAGGGCGTGCCGGCCCGGCACTCGGAGGAGGAAAACCCAGGTTTCCAACGTATTGGTTTCGGGAAAACGTAAGACTCGGGTAAGCCGGAACTCGGGTTTGCCAACTTTTTTTTGACGAGCGCGTCCTGAATTTTGACGGTCCCGTTTTCGTGGGATGTTTGCAGCGGGAGCCCGCGTCAAATTTCAGATTGGGTCTCGTCATTTTTATGATGGCCCCCGTCAGGCCAACCCGAGTCCCCCGTACCCGAGTCTTACGTCTCCCCGATGGTTGAAGGGCCAAGTCTACCTGCTCTCAGAAGACCAAGGACCAATGTCTGAGGCACATGCCAAGGATCGTTCTCGTTCTCTAGCCACAGGCCTCTGTAGACACGTGTGGCGCCGTTGCGTAGACAGGCACAGGTGGGGTAGATGCGTCTATAGGCAACGCGACCGCTGCCTCGGCGCAGTGCAAGGTCGGAGAGATGGTAGATCTGGCTACGGTATACTCCTGTTCTACAGCAGGTCCCACATGGCACTCCAGCGCAATGTGTTGTTATCTTTTCTTTTAAAGAATCTGGAAAATCTCTGCCCTTCCAAGTGGCGCGTCGCATTAATTCGATGGTGAAGTGCTCTCGCGACACAGTCCTGAGCGCACGCGAAAAAATGTACTCCAGCGCAATGGAGAAAAATCCAACGGCTTTTCGTCGTTTTCGGCCTCTAGGGGCCCTCGGGCCTTGGGACCGTCAGCATGCAAGCTGGCCCTGGCAACAAGGGTCGGGGCATCCAGGGGCCCCGCATTGAAAATGTCAAGGCATCGCATATCCAGGAAGACACCGATGCCGCTGCCCTTGCCTCGTGCTCACCCAGACATGCTCGCGTCGTAGAAAAATCAGGGCGGAGGTTTTTCGCTTCGGCCTCCGGGGGCCTTCGCAAGGCCCTGGGTCTGTCAAAGGAAGACTCAGAAGAAAGAGCCAGTCCCGCCCGCCAAAAGGGACGGGACTTCCGGCGACAACGCATTGAAAAGATCAGAACGTCGCATATCTTGTTACTGATACCGCTACTCTTCCCTCATTTCCGCATTCTGGGGCCTCCTGGGTGGCCCTCGTCCCCATGTGTGGATTCGCCTCCAAATCTTGGTCAGAATGCGCTCCGGGAGATGCCCATGGAGCAGCAGTATCCGAGCCATTTCGTCCCAGCAGGTACGCGCACGGGCAGCCCATGACGGGTGTTGCCAGAGATGTCCCTGCATCCAGATCATTGGACATTGGGTTTTTTGTCGGTCACGATCGGCAGTCACCGATCGGCATTCCAGATCTCCAAGTCGGCTGCGAACGATTGCGACCGATTCCAAAATCGGTTCCGACTGGTCGCGACCGATCGCGACCGGTCGGTCGCGACCGATCGGTCGAAAACCGATATCGAATTTGAAGCAACATCGGCAGCGACCGATCTCGTCGGCCGCGACCAGAAAATCTTGGCAGCCGGTGATCAGGGATGGCCCGTTTTCAGATCCAGGTGTTGCAGCAGCAGTCGTGGCGGCTGGTTTTTACTGGTTCGGAGACTCCCGTGGCCGTGTCCCGGGCCCGGGGCAGTCAAAAGACGATTCAGGGTGAAGAGCTGGTCCCAGGGAAGTGGTCGAGATGCTCGGGGCCCGACGTCTCGAAAGAATTTCGGAGGACGCGTAATTGGGGGGCGATCCATGGGAGGGCAGCGATCGCTGCAGAGAGGGGCCGCTTTGGGGCCCCTGAAGGGGCCCTTTAGGGCCCAACAGGGGGTCTTTAGGACCCGAAAGTGTACCTCTCGCCCCCCCCCCCTTACATCGCCACCTCATTGACTCGCGCCCAAGAACTGCACTGCTAGAGGAGAGGCCGCGAGTTGTGTTTCTATTGGATTTCCAGGGAGGCCTACCAGGCCTTCAGGGCACCCCCCGCGAGGCCCCGAGGGCCTGGTAGGGCTTTGGGCTGCGCGCGTGCAGCCCCCCAAAGTGGTCCCGGCTGGCCTTCTGCCTAATAGGGCAGAAAGAGGTCCAGCAGGTCGCCCTGCTGGAGCGTGCTGTGCCGCCTGCCACACAGCTCGCGCACTTCAGGCAATGAGGGCGCTGAGTCCAAAAAAATAGCCCCAGGCGGTCTCAACACCCCAACCTTGGGGCGCGGAGCACACCGGGAGTGCCGCCGGAGGGGGCGCCAGGGGGTTGAGACCGCCCCGGACGATTCGGCCGACCGTTTTTCACAACGCCATGGGGTCTGGGCTTATTAAAGGGCCCCAGAAGCGGCAAGGACGGTTTTTTGTTTCCGACAAAGTGTTTCTTGAAGACGAAAGCGGTAAAAAACGGCGGAACTGGGGAAAAAAAAACGGCGCGACGGAATTGGCCAAAAACGGCGTCGCCCCCCTAAGGGTCTGGGCACAGCCTGGGCCAGGGTTATGTCGAGCGTGTCCCCCTGCAGGAGGATTCTCGACGAAAAATTAAAAATACCCCCAAAATGCCCCGAAATGGTGAAAAAAACACCACAAAAAATCCCATAGTATTTTTTCGGACGATTGTTTGATTATGTTTGGGGTATGCTTGATTGTTCGTCGAGGATCTCCCCCTGTAGGGGGACAGGCCCGGCTTAAGCCCAGGGACACTTCCGGCAACCCCCGGCCCGTGCTCTTCGCCGGGGGCGCGCCGACGGCCGTGGCCGGCGGCAGTCTGACGGCCACCGCGCCCCCCGTCTACCAGCACAGGGCCGCGGCGACGCCCGGTGCAGCGGGGGCCGGCCAGCAGGTCTCCGCCACGCGCAGAGGGGGGGGGCGAGGGGGGGGGGCTTCTTAGAAGCCCCTGAGAAGGCGCGGGCCTTGCCCACAGATGTGAGAGTGGTGCCTTCTATGGAGCAGCCTCCTTCTAAGAAGCAGGTTTCCGCCACGCGCAGAGGGGGGCTTAGTGGGCCCTGGAAACGACAGGGCCGTTTTTTCTTACCGGCTCCATTCTGCCGTTTTCTTGCCGGTTCCGACGCCGTTTTGTTACCGGTTCCGTCGCCGTTGTTTGACCGGTTACGGCTCCGGCTCCAATCCTGGAGCCGTTTTTTTGCCGTTTCCGATCGCCGTTTTTTTGCCGTTTCCATTTTCAATGGACTTTTTTAGGGAAACGGTGAAAAAACGACCCTGCCGTTTCCGGGGCCCACAAAGGAGGGGGGTGGACGGAAGGGGGAGGGCTTCTTAGAAGCACCCCTGCTTCTTAGAAGGCGCGGGCCTTGCCCACAGATGTGAGAGTGGCGCCTTTTTAAGGAGCAGCCTCCTTCTAAGAAGCCCTCCCCCCTCCCTCCACCCCCTTGTGCGCGCCGCCAAAGGTCTCCAGAGCTCCAGAGCAGGGAAAGGAGCCCAGACATGGTCGCGTCGTCGAAAGATCAGGGCGGAGGTTTTGCACCGTTTTCGGCCTCCAGAGGCCTTCGCCGGGCCTCGGGGCTGTCAAAAGACGACTCCGGATGAAGAGCTGGTCCCAGCGAAAGGGACGGGATTTCATGGCGACCGCGTATTGAAGAAATCAGGACGTCGCATGTCTTGGCACCGATACCGCTACACTTCCCTCGTTTCCGCATTTTTGGGCCTCTTGGGAGGCCCTCGTCGCCACGGTTGGATTCGCCTCGAAATCATAGTCAGAATAAAACCTTGGGAGAGGTCTGAGGAGTGACGGTATTGATCCCGATTGGTTTCTCCAGGTCAGGGGATACCCAGACACGATCCTCCGCGAGGTGCCGCAGGTGCAGATCGTCGAGAGAGTCGTGGAGGTGCCCCAGGTGCACGTGCAGGAAAAATTCGTGGACGTCCCGACGACGCTCTATCAGGAGAAGATCGTCGAAGTGCCACAGGTGCATGTCGCGGAGCTTAGGAAGCAGGTCCCGCGAGTGGAGGTGCAGGAGGTCGTGAAGGAGGTGGCCAAGCCGGTGACCGAGGTGTACGAGCGCCTCGTGGAGGTGCCCCAGCTCATGACCGTAGAGAAGCTGGTGGAGGTGCCGCAGGTTCAGATGGTGGAGACGGTGCGGCAGGTGCCGCGGCCGCAGGTCCAGCAGGTGGAGAAGAGGGTGGCGAAGCCTGTCTTCGACGTGCGGGAGCGGATCGTGGAGGTCCCGCAGGTCACCATCCAGGAGCACATCGTGGAGGTTCCCAAGGTGGAGTACGTGGAGTTCCTGCGCGAGGTGCCCAAGCCAGAGGTGCAATTCGTGCAGAAGCACGTGGAGAAGCCCGTCCTGCAGCTGGTGGAGAGGACGGTGGAGGTGCCTCAGGTGACCCTGCAGGAGTGCATCGTGGAACTCCCTCAGATCGAGTATTTAGACCTGGTGAAGCAGGTGCCTCGGGTCGAGGTCCAGATGGTGGACAAGCAGGTGAGGAAGAAGGAGATCCAGTACATAGAGAAGATCGTCGAGGTGCCGCAGATAGTCTACGAGGAGCGCATCGTGGAGGTGCCGCAGATCGAGTACAGGGAGGTCATCAAGCAAGTCCCCAAGCCGGAGATCCAGTACATCGACAAGAAGGTTCCAAAACACGTGATCGAGTATGTCGAGAAGATCGTGGAGGTGCCCCAGGTGATCTACGAGGAGCAGGCCGTCGAAGTCCCCATGGTGCACAACGTGGAAGCCATCACGGAGGTGCCGAAGCCACAGATGCACGCGGTGCCGAAGGAGGTGCCGCGGATCGAGTTGAGGGTTCAAGAGAGGATCGTGGAGGTGCCCACGCAGCTGCAGGTGGAGCAGCCCGTGGAGGTGCCGCAGGTCTTACTGGCAGAGGTCATCACCCAGGTGCCCCGCCCCGAGGTCCAGTACATCGACAGAGAGGTGCCCATCGTGAGGACCGAGGTGCGCGAGCAGATCGTGGAGGTGCCGCAGGTCATGTACGAGGAGCGCCTCAGAGAGGTGCCCCAGGTGCAGATTGCCGAGTTCATCAAGCAGGTGCCGGTGCAGCACTACCAGGACATCCCCAAGGAGATCGCCAAGGTAGAGACGCGGGCCGTCGAAAGGGTCGTGCCAGTCGCGCACAACCTCCTCCACGAGGTGGCCGTGGAGGTGCCGCAGGTGTGCGTGCATGAGGTCCTGACGCAGGTGCCGTCGGCCAGCCAGGAGCAGCGCATCGTCCAGACCGGCATCGAGGCCCAGCGGCGCATCCCGAGGCACCAGGCGGTCGTCGGCTCGGGCGAGGCACAGTTCTCAGGCGAGCGGCGGAAGAACACGGGGTGGACTGCGCAGACATTCGCGCGCAAGCTGCCTGTGCGCATAATTATCGGGGTGGGCCCAGGACGGATAGAGCGCTCTGGAACGGCCGCGGCGCCAGGTAAACATCCAGAACCGCTAGACCTCAGAGATCCCCTCTGTGTCCTCGTCTCCAACGTAGCGGGCCGCGCTTGCGCCCTGCATGAGCCGTGGCTTACTTGAAGTCGCCATGTCATCGTCCGTAACTGCGATGGGCGCGGAGTTGCTGAGCGGATAGGATAGGGGGGGTTATCAGTGCATGCCGAGGTGCGTTATATCTGGCCTGAACTAGCTTGTACGTGGGATCTGCTGAGTGGGCGAAGCCCGCTTAGCCTGGATAGTGAACCCTCCTGAACCACTCGGGGCATCTACTCCTACAAGCAAGATTAGGCCAGGCATACCCCCCCTTGGCTAGGGGAACAAAAAGTGGCATAAACATAAAAACTCAGAGCTCCGCGCGGATTTCTTGGATCGGCGCTGGGGCCCCCCGGCGGCGCCTCCGGCGCCGCCCCTGGCGCGCTCCGCGCGCCGGGGAGGGGGGTCCAGCGCCGATCCGAGCAATCCGCGCGGAGCTCCGAGTTTTTTTTGTTTATGTCACTGTTCGTTCCCCCTATTGGCATCCACTGACACCCAGCCTACCCCCTCAGCAACCCCCGCGCCCATCCCAGAAGACCCGCTTCCTTTCGTCGCCCAGGCGTGTACCACGCCCCCGCCGTGCCGGCGGACGGCTCCTACAGGGCCGCGCCGCCGCCGGCGTACGCAGCCGCCGGCACTCGCCAGGCGCCCGCCACGCACTCGGGGCACCCTCGCGCGGCGTCGCGACGGAAGGCGTTTGCTTCATTTCCGGCCTCGGGGGGCCCTGTCCGCGGACAACCCGCACCCGCGCTGGCGTTCTCCGAAGCGTCGTCGATCCCTCGACCTGGGATTCGTACAGGGCATGTTCGGCCCTCGGAGCCGACGAACTTTTTGCAAGGTAGCGCGCTGGAGCGGGGCCTGAAGGAAATCCAGACATGGTACGGTGCAGAGGTGCCACTCTCGTATACCAGGCGGGCCCCTGTACCGACCTCTGGGGAGCCGCGTTGCGAAAAAGTCACGGCGTCGGATGTCTTGGCAGGGCGACCTGTTCGCCCAGCTCGACACGAACAGGGACGGCGTCATAAGTCGGGCGGAGTGGGACCACGCGGCGGCGGCCGCCGCGGCTGGCGCAGGATCCGAGGAAGCCCAAACATTCGAGTATGGGATCGACTATAGAATTAGTGTACCCCAAAATTACATTCCTCGTCGAATCTACAACAAAACCCTAGCATTGCTCATGGATTCCAAGAGAAAGCCAACCTCAGGGTAAATCATTTCTGTCTCCGATCCCCTGCTCGAAACGTGGATTAAGGCCCGTGGATCAGCGACGGGTCTTATTTCCGTGCAGAATCGGCGCGCCCTTCCGCCAAATGAGGCTGCACCGACGTAAGAGTGACCTTGCGCTGGAGTGCCCTTTTGGTGCGGGCCCGGCGGGGCCCCGATCGCTGAGCGCGAAGCGGTAGCAGCGACTTGCGCGCCCGCGTTGGGCCACCCCGCGTCCCCCGTTCAGCCGCGTCACAAAGGTCACTCCTGCCCAGGGTAGCTCCTCTGTGTCGCCGAACCGTCCCCGATCTGAGGGCCTGGCGCCCACTGATCTCCAGACCCCCGACGTCATGTTCTTTTCATGACGTGGACCCCTGGAGGTCTCGACCCATTCCCCGGGGCCGGCTCTTCGTCCTGAGTCGTGCGCTGACGGTCCCAGGGCCCGGTGAGACGGTGAGGGCTCCAAGAGTTTGAAAATTGCATAGTCCTACTCTTATATTTAAGTCGGGTCTGTCCCTCTACAGGAGGAAGATTCAAACATAGTCAAAAAATAGTCTGGAGACGATGTTTTGACTGTTTTTGCTCATTGTGGGGGCATCTTTCGAGCACTTGTTTTTAATTTTTCGCCCCAAAATCCCCCCGTAGGGGGACACGCCCGACTCGATCTCATATTTTTATTACCCGGAACGCCCCTCGCCCCCCCCCCCCTCCCAAACCAGACCCCCCCCCCCAGGGACGCAACGGGCCCGCCGGCCCCTCCGGGCCTCCCGGGGCGCCTTGCCCGGCCTTGCGAGCAGACTCAAGGCGATCAGAAGGGTCGTCGGAGAGGCGCAAGAGGCACCCAAGACAGCACAAGAGCGCTCCAAGAGGAACCGCGATGGTCTGAGGACGGCCCAAGAGGCCGTTAAGAGAGCCCCGAAGAAGCACACATCGTCCCATTCCCTTCGAAGAGTAGATATTCTTAGCATATCCGCTTTGAGGGTCTTCGCAGCGTCCAAGACGGCCCGATGGGCCCCCGACATCGCCCCAAGAGGCCCCGCAGAGGGTTTGAACACTGCCCACAAGAAGCCCAAGATGCCCCCAGAAGGCTCCGAAGAGAGACCCACGAAAGCCATGGGAGACCCCCAAGAAGGCCACTGGAGGCCCCCAAGAGGGCCCTAGATGGCTTCAGAAGACCTATGGAGGGCCTCAACTCCCCAAGACGGCCCAAGAAGGCCCCAGGACGGCCCAAGAGGGGCCCAGGACGGCCCAGAAGAGCCCCAAAAACGCCCAGACGGCGTTTTCCTACGAAGTGCATCGAGCTGACCCGACGATCTTGGTTCCACGCTTGAGGCTCGAGGTGTAAGTTCCTCCATCAAGAGAGTCAGGCAATGGATCTAGAGTCGAAGTTCGACGATCGAAGATTTCCTGAGTGCCTGGGGCCCTCCAGGCATTCAGGAAGCGACCATACATCTACTTGTTCGGAGCTACTGCGACTTCTTCGGCGTGTCATGGGAACGCTCCTCACCTCCTCAAAGGAACTTCGCGCGTGAAAAAACATCATTCGTGCCCCACTCCTGCGCGCAAGCGTGAAAGCGCATCAGGCGAACGCGGTGTCAGCAGGCACCAGGGATAACAGAAACATGAGCTGGTCGCCCGCCCAGGCCTTGAGGCCCCCCCCTGCTGAAGCAACCGATGATTGATTGCTTTGTCGGGGAGGTCCGGAACAAGGCGCATGGCGCGAAGCGCCAATGCAGTCTTGTATATATATATATATATGTCTGTATATGCATACATACATAGATGTGTGTAATCAAACACATCGTGACTTTGTCATGACCCGAAGTCTTGGTCCACGTCGCTGCGTGCCCGAAGGATCTGCCCGCCTCGCAGGCGGCTTCGGCGTCACCGACGCCCCCGTTGGCTACTACGCGGCGACGGGCCCCTCCGCGACGGCTCGGCCCGCATACGCCTACGAGCCCACCGCCGAGGGCTACTACGCGGCAACGGGTCCTTCCGCGACGGCTCGACCCGCGTACGCCTACGAGCCCACCGCCGATGGCTACTACGCGGCGACGGGCCCTTCCGCGACGGCTCGCGCCGCGTACGCCTACGAGCCCCCCCTGCGGTGAGCCGGGGAGGCCCAGAGGAGGAAAAGGTACCCATACCGCTACCCTTCCCTCGTTTTTTCCTTTTTGGGGCCCTCTCGGAGGCCTTCGTCGCCACCGCCGGATTCGCCTTGAAATTCCGGTCAGAACGCACCCCGGGAGAGATCTGGAGAGTAGGCGGTATCGGTACCTTGTGGTTTTCCCGAGAAGGCCGTGGCCGTCGGCGGCGAGGCGGAGGCCGTCGGCAAGCTGCATGAAAGACACACATGTGCAGGCCAAACAGGCCTGTGAACTGAAGGCGCCCGTTTATCACTCAGTGCAGAACGTCTGCCTCCATGAAGGGAAAGGCTGCCTTCAGCAGGCCAAGCAAAAACTGCCGTCAGTTGAGTTGGTTCCTGCCTTCAGTGAGAGATGTGTTCCTTCAGCGGGCAGTGGAGGCGGACTGGGGGTCTAAACTGGCTGGGGTTCCAGAAAATTTGCCAGGAGGGCTGGGGTGAGGCCAAATCCGTTCTAAATCGGTCCTAAGGCCTCTCTCGGGGTCAATCTGGATCACTTCTTTACCCCAGCTTCTGTTTCGACGGTCCCGGCGCCCGAGAACGGTCCTGGGAGAGCGAGACAGACAGCAAACCTTCCCAATGCCAGAACGTCGAACCCGCCCGCCCCTCCTGCTGGCCATAACTAGCACTGGGCCACCTCTCCTCCTCCTCCCCTTGCTCCTCCTCCTCCTCCTGCTCCTGCTCCTTCTCCTCCTCCTCCAGAATGAAAGTTGTTTGCCTTCGGTGGACCTCGCCTGCAGCGCCTTCGCCCGCAGGGCCTGTTCAGACACGTGCACAACGGGGCAGGGCAAGATCGGAAGAAGGCTTCTTAAAAGCACCCTACTACTGAGAAGGTGCCGGCCTTCTCTATAGATGTAGGGCCGGCGCCTTCCAAGAAGCAGCCTCCTTCTAAGAAGCCTTCCCTCGTCCCTCCACAGTCGGACCAAGGTATAAGATCGAGGTCCGTTCGGGGAGGGTACCCTAGTGTTCTTCGTGTTTGTTGGATGTTCTTGTGCATCCTGGTGAGGGTGCCCTCGGATGTTCTGTGTCGGCGGAGGCTCTCGTGTTTTTGAGGGGTGTTCTTCTGGCCCAGGTCCGACTGTACCCCCCCTCAGCGTGCCGCCAAACCTGGGGGAACGAACAACGACATGAACATAAAACTCGGAGGTCCGCGCGGATTTCTCGGATCGGCGCTGGGGCCCCCTGGCGGCGCCTCCGGCGCCGCCCCTGGCGCGCTCTGCGCGCCAGGGAGGGGTCCAGCGCGGATCTAATTAAGAGATCCGCGCGGACCTCCGAGTTTTTATGTTTCTGTCATTGTTCGTTCCCCTCATACCTCGCCTGCAGCGCCCGCGCCCGCAGGGCCTGCACCGAGCGCCTGCCCTGGCCGCCCGCCCTGACCACGGCGCCCCGCGGGCGCGCCCGGCAGCGGACCCGCTCGCGGACGCGGTCGCCGCCCCGCGGTCAGCGCGGTCAGCGCCTTGCCGCCAGGAAAGAACACGTCCTCCCCCGACACGGGGCGGGCCTCCTCCTCCTCCTCCTCCTCCTCCTCCATCACAGAATCCTTTCCTCCTCCTTCTCCTCCTTCTCCTCTCCTCCTCCTCCTTCTTCTCCTCCCTCTCCTCCTCCTCCTCCTCCTCCATCCTCCTCCTCCTCCTCCTCCTCCTCCTCCTCCTCCTTCCCCCCCTCCTCTCTCCTCCTCCTCCTCCCCCCCGCCTCCTCCTCCTCCTCCTCCTCCCTCCTGCCTCCTCCGCCTCCTCCTCCTCCGCTCCTCCTCCTCCTCCGCCTCCTCCCTCCTCCTCCTCCTCCTCCCTCCTCCTCCTCCTCCCCTCCTGGCCGTCCTCCTCTTCCGCTCTCATCCTCCCCCTCCTCCCCCTCCTCCTCCTCCTCCCCTCCTCCTCCTCCTCCTCCTCCACCTCCTCTCTCCTCCTCCCTCTCCTCCTCCTCCTCTCCTCCTCCTCCTCTCCTCCTCCTCCTCCTCCCCCTTCTCCACCTTCCCCTCTTCCCCCTCCTCCTCCTCCTCCTCCTCCTCCTCCTCCTCCTCCTCCGCCGCCTCCTCGTTCTCCTTCTCCTCCTCCTCCTCCTCCTCCCCTCCTCCTCCTCCTCCTCTTCTCCTCCTCCTCCTCCGCCAAGGGGCCCCCCCGGCCCCCCGCCTCCAACCACCGCCACCACGTCGCGGCCTGCCCCGCTCACAAACCAAACCGCCCCCCCCCCCCCCACCCAGGAGCAGGCCCCGAAGAGAGAAGCAGGGCGAGAGGCGACAGCACAGCCCACCCCCACCCAGCCAGGTAAAGGCCTCCTACATGGGTTTCGAGTAGCTGGGGTCGGAGGATCGCGGCGCATCGCTGATGCATCGCCGATGCGGCTCGATGTGGAGCCCGATGTTCTCCGCACCGGCGTCGTCGAGGCTCCGCCGACGTCGCCGATGCATCGCCGATGCATCGGCGACGCGGTGCGATCCTCCGGCCACATTTACTCGGACCCCATCTGGGAGGCCTCTACCACCTGCCCAGCTCGGGCTTCCCCCCAAAAAGGGCCGATGGAGCTGCCCGTCCCTCGTCGTAGCCCTTCGGGACCTCCTGGGTGGCCCCCTCCTCCTCCTCCTCCTCCTCCTCCTCCTCCTCCTCCTCCTCCTCCTCCTCCTCCTCCTCCTCCTCGTCCTCCTCCTACCGTTCGTCCTCCTCCTCCTCCTCCTCGTCCTCCTCCTCCTCTTCCTCCTCCTCCTCCGCCTCCTCGTCGCAACCGCTGGCTGGGCGTCGAAGTCCTGGTCAGAGCGAGCCCCTGGAGAGGTCCGGGGAGCAGCGGTGTCGGAGCCTCGTCGTCCCACCAGGTACGCGCACAGGCAGTGCATTCGGGTGGTGCCAGAAGTGTCCCCGCATCCCAGATCAGGGCTGTGCCTAAACGGTGTTTTTGGCGATTTCGTGGGCCGTTTTCGTTTCGACTTCGTTTTGCGGTAAAGGCGAATTCGAGACAAAAGCGAGGGAAAACGAAAACAAAACGAAAACGACAAACACCGTTTAGGTTCAGCCTTGTCCCATATCATTGGAGGCTGTTTTTTTTCGGCCGCGGTCGGCAGCGACTGACCAGCACTCCAGATCAGTCGCGAACGATGGCGAAAGATTCCAGAATCGGTCGCGACCGATCGCGTCCGATCGGGCGCAACCGATTTTGAAGCAAAGCGGCCGCGAATGATGCTGGAATGTGTAGCGGACGTGGTAGCGACCGATCTGGTCGGTCGCGACCAGAAGTCTCTGACATTCGGTGAGCAGGGTGCAGAACCCAGACCCCCGACGTCATGACTCTTCCATGACGTCGACCCTCAGAGGTCTCGACCCATTCCCCGGGACCAGTCTCTCATCCCGAGTCGCTTTTTGACGGCCCCGAGGCCCGGTGAGGGCCTCCAGGGGCCGAAATCGACTACAAGTAAGAGTGACCTTCCGCCGGAGTGACAGTTGGTGCGGGCACAATGAGGTCCTCCGATCACCAGTTGCGATGCGATAGTAGCGTCTTGCGCGCCTGAGTTTGGTCCCCCCGCGGCCCCCCAAAAGCCGCGCACCAAAAGTCACTCTTACCCAAGGTCACCCCTGCGTGCAGCCGACGAAAACACTGAAAAACCTCCCGCCATGACCTTTCCATTACCCGAGGGGATCGGGGAAGCCAGCGCTCCAACGCATCGAAAAGCCCCACTCGCCGGGCCCCGGGGGGTCGTCGCAGACCGGGTCGGGGTGCAAGGCCGGCCCTGAGGAACAGGTCGGGAGTCTCGGGGGCCCCGCATGGAGGAGGAGGGGGAGGAGGAACGGGAGGAGGAGGAACGGGAGGAGGAGGAACGGGAGGAGGAGGAGGAGGAACGGGAGGAGGAGGAGGAGGAGGAGGAGGCGGAGGAGGAGAGGAGGGAGGAGTTCGGTTCGGCCATCCTCGAAAGGGGGGTCAGGCCCCCTCAGCCGGAGGAGCGCACCTCTAAAAAGCGGCACAGTCCAAGGAGGAGGAGGAGGAGGAGGAGGAGGATAAGGAGAAACGGGAGGAGGAGGAGGAACGGGAGGAGGAGGAGAAACGGGAGGAGGAGGAGGAGGAGGAGGAGGAAGAGGAGGAGGAGGAACGGGAGGAGGAGGAGGAACGGGAGGAGGGGGAGGAGGAGGAGGAGGAGGAGGAGGAGGAGGAGGAGGAAGAGCCTGGGACCCCGAACAGCTATACGGAGGCAGGGCGGGCCGTTCTCAACATGTGCTCCCCTCGCCCTAGCAACGCGCAAATTCGTTTCAAAAGTGTCTGGCAGCTGCGCGGATAGAAGGCATGTTGGGCTGATCTTCCACCACCACTACCACAGGCAGGAGAGGTCGGAGGAGGAGGAGGAGGCGGAGGAAGAGTGGGAAAATCAGTACATCGGATATCTGGGACGGCGCAGCATCCAAGAAATCCACCTTCGAGCAGGTGCCAGGTGCCCCACGCATGTTTCTAACCCCCCCCGACGGCCCCAGGGACCCACGAGGAGCTCTGGGGCAGATCAGGGCTCGGTCAAAGATCGACGAAGCATGCGTCCCAAGATTTTACGTATAGCACGGATTGTGTCCGCAGGCGTCTATTATATGCCATTTCCCTCGGGATACGGGGGGGGGGTCGTTGGTTAAGGAATGCGCCCAGGAGGCTTCAGACCCTGGAGGGTTCCTTACCTGATGTGGGCGGCGGTGATACCCATGGCCACTCTGCAAATGGAGTTCCACCGGATTCCAGACCCTGGGTTCCTTATCCAATGGTTCCTTATCCAATGCCCTCACCGTCCGTAGCCATTTTGGCTCAAGCCGGTCTCAAGCCCCTGGCTGCCATCTGCCTCCGCTCATGGCCAGTCCGGGTGCAGCAGCTGCTTGAGGTGATGGCGACGGGAGGGGACCCCCGCAGGTCCCCACGCTCACGCGCGGAGCGCAGCGAGGCTGCGCGGCGGGCGCGCTCGGCGGCGGACGCCGCCGTGCGGCATGCCCGAGCGCGGGTGGAGGAGCTCGTGGAGCGGCTGGCCCTCGCCGAGAGGACGCTGGAGGCCTTCACGGGCGATGCTGAGCTGGCCGACAGGCTCGCCGCGGTTGTGCCTGCGCTGGACGCGCTGGTCAACGGCGAGCAGCCCTCCTGGCTGGCGCGGCTCAGGAGGAACGTCGCGCTGCACGCCAAGGCGGGCGCCATCAAGGGGCGCATCGCAGGGGCGGCGGCGCACGAGCTCAGGAAGGCGCAGAAGCAGGAGCGCCTCGGGAAACCCCCCTTCCTCAACCCTCGGCGACGGAGGAGGTGCACGAGGACAAGGCGGGGGCCGCGCAGAAGCAGGGGCATGCGGCTCAGCAGGTGCAGAGGATGCTGCACGAGAGAGAGCTGCCCCAGGCAGCGCCCGAGGACGTCCTGGGCGCGAACTGGCTGGCGCCAGGCTGCTGGCAGCCAGGCGACCCCGAGCTGGAGGCGCGGGCCCTCGGAGAGGGATTCGCAAGTGGCTGGCGGCTGGCGGCGCGGCGCGCGGAGGCCTCGGAGGGTCCCCCTGCGGCTGAGGCCACGCAGGTGGTGACCATCTGGACTTGCTGTCTGGAGGCGGGGACGCGGGCCGAGATGCACGGCATCGGGGTCGAGCTGCGGCGCCTCCCCAAGGACAACCAGGCCCCGCCCGAGCCCACGGCGGCGAGCGACCACTCGATAGAGTACGGCGTCCGCCTGGGCCCCACGCAGCGGCAGCAGGGCATCGACGGCGATGGCGTAGTGCTGCCGCTAGCGGCCGAAGGCGGGAGCGGCAGGCCGCAGCTCGGGGGCCCCCAGGGCGCTGCGGCCGCCCGCGCCCGCGACCTCGCCGAGCTCTACGCCGCCTTCTTGGAGGAGATCGGGCGCTGAGCGGTGGCGGGGCCCTAGAATGCCTGCATGAAACCGCCGTGCTCGCGCGGCGCCTACACAGATAAAAAAAAATGCCCTCACCGTACTTCCTCGTCGCGCCACTAGACGTGACGGCAGTGTGGGACGGGCGTCCCGCTTCAGACTTGCTCACCATTCGTGGTATCGGAGCCTGGGACCCCGAACAGCTAGCAGGGCGGGCCGTTCTCAACATGTGCCCCCCTCGCCCTAGCAACGCGCAAATTCGTTTCAAACGTGTCTGGCAGCTGCGCGGATAGAAGGCATGTTGGGCTGATCTTCCACCACCACTACCACAGGTAGGAGAGTTCGGAGGAGGAGGCGGAGAAGGAGGAGAAGGAAGAGGAGGAGGAGATGGGGGAGGAGGAGGAATAGGACCTCCCAATCGTCCCTTTTCCCCCGTCTTACCTATGGCAGTGGCGGAACATTGACCCATCAAGACAAATGTGATTGCTGCTGCTACTGCTGCTGCTACTACTACAACCACTACCACTACTACTAGTAGTATTACTACTACTAATTACGACTACTACTACTACTACTACTACTACTACTACTACTACTACTACTACTACTACTACTACTACTACTACTACTACTACTAAGACTACTACTACTACTACT